TGAAGGGGGAGACGAAGCAGGCAATGAAGCAGGCGACAAAGCAGGCGACGAAACATTGCTAGAGAGCAGTAAAGGAACATAAGGAGACCAATTTAGAGAAGAAAAATATCCGTCGCTGTCACGTTTCGAACCCGGGACCTTTTGAATGTAGAGAAGGACACCGTACCTCTAGACCACGAGAGCTCCCTTCAGGTCTATGGATAGCAAGAAATAAATAGCATTTGAACAGTATAAATTAGTGCTGGGCGGCCTGGTTAACGATTCTTAAAAGCTAGGAATGGTAGGAATCGACTCTGAACCCAATTACCTGTACTTACTTTCTGAAGGTGTGATTTCTTCCGGTGGCTACCTGGTTGCCTTTGAACATCTACAAGATCTAGGATAACTTGATTTCGGAATACTACGAAGTATCAACTTTTTTTTCTCTCCAAAAACATATTCTAAAAAAAGAAGAAGATTTAAATGATTAAAGTAACTGGTAACCGTTAGTTTTCGTAAAAAGTAGTCGGAACTTTTCTTCCGTAGCATTAATCGTGGGAATCGGTTCCGGAATCAATTCTTCGCCCTGCTCTAGTACAAATTCCCCACTAGCAGCATGTTTATACGCTTCATACTCTTTTTTTTAAAGCAGGGGGTTTTACGGCGCTCGCAACTGCATAAGGTCATAGGAGCTCCAATTTTATACTCCATAATTATTCTTACCCAGGCAGACCTGTTACGGGGGCTCTCGCGGCCTAGATGTAAAGGTGTTCTCATCACATTCAAAGGTCCCGGATTCGAATCTGGGTAGCGATGGAAAAGTTTTCTTCTCTAAAATTGTCTCCTTTCACCTTTCCTGTTCCCTAGCAAAGTTCGGTCGTCTGCTTTCGTCTCCACTTTTTGCCCCCACCCCCACACATTCTTTGTCTCCTCTTCTGGGCTCCTGGCTCTATCTGCCAATTCAAAATTGATGTAAAGATATACGTGAGTGAAGTTTAACCCTTTCTTCGGCAGGAATTCCGTAATGAGCGACCACTATGACATGGAATGGGGCTAGGGTCAGGGTTCGGGTTAAGGCTAAGGCTAGGGTTTGGATTTGGGTTTGGATTGTTTTTAGGGTTGAGGCTAGGGTTAGGCTTAGGATTTAGGTTAAGGTTAGGCTTAGGGCTAGGCTTAGGGTTAGACTTAGAGCTAGGCTTAGGGCTTGGCTTGGGGCTAGGCTTAGGGCTAGGGTTAGAGATAAGGTTAGTCGGGGTGGTCGTTCATAACGAAGTCCTTTCGAAATAACTTATGTTTCTATAGCGCATGCTTTAACATCAGTGCTAAGAAAAGATAAGATAAGGTATAGATAAGATGAACCTTGAAAGAAGTTCCGCAGAAGGCTGGCCGACTAACAACACCCAACCCCAACCCCAACTCTTGTATAATTTGCTCACTGGACCTTGTCACTGTAAGTGACGGCCCCTTGCGGAACTCTCCCCTAAACCTTTTGAGTCCAGTCACTGGCACATTGATTTGTTGTTTCACCACACACACACTCACACACACACACACACACACACACACAGTGACACACACATACAAAAACATACACAAACACACACAAACACGCGCACTTGAACACGCACGCGAACTCACGCGAACGCACACGCACGCGAACATATGGGCACACATACATACACACACA